GCTGCTGCTCAGACTCCTTGGGCTCCGTCGGAGGCTGGAATGAAAGCTGAGGGAACGAGGGTCCTCACAATGAAGGCTCAAACCCCAAAACTGCCACGCCCTCCTCTGGACTCGCATCCCAACCAGGACTGGTCGCCCTCGGCCTTCAGCTTCGACTAACCTGCGAGCCCTAGAAAGGATGATTGCGCAAGTCGCAAAGTCGACTTCTTCCAGACATCGGTCCGGATCTCTCTCGCGTAAGAGCTGGAAGCGGTACATGAAGCGGCGCCTTGGGACCGTGGCTCGGACCCATCCGCGCTCGGATTTCTCAGCGGCCAGATCGCGCAACTGCTCCGGTTCCAGAGCCATCGAATTGAACTTGATGATTCGTTCCAGTTGCGCTGTGGTCCATATGACGCACCAGCGCATGAAATCTTCAAACACTGTCTTCTCTCCCCGTGAAAAGGCCTGTGCCATCCAAGGCTTGCTCTTGGCAGCAAGGGTGGTGACCTGATGATGATGATGATGATGATGATGATGATGATGATGATGATGATGATGATGATGATGATGAGGATGCTGCTGCTGCTGCTGCTGATGCTGCTGCTGATGATGATGATGATGATGATGATGATGATGATGATGATGATGATGATGATGATGATGATGATGACGAGTCTCTGATCTCGCGTCTGGCTGCACGCTCTAGCTGAGTTTGGGCATCGCTCCCCATTGGTCCCAGGGAGCGCACCGGAGCCCAAGCAGTCTGGTAGGGCTCACTCGCTGGCATGGTCTTCTGCAGCCTAGACAAGGGAAGGCGATCGGTCAAGTGCGATTTAAAAGAAACGGTCAACTGCGAATTCCGTTTGGCAGCAAAGGTTCAATTTTGGCAGTTTCTCCTGTGGGTTGCCCCACAGGAGTTAGCCAGGAGCACGAGCAAACCGCCCCACTCCAGATGTCCCCAGGAGGTGGGGCGGCCCGATCAGAATTTTGGTTGCGAGCGCTCGTGTATTCGCGCCGTCGGTAGCTATCTTCATTCATGGCCCGAAGCGTCCCAGGATGAAATTGACTGGGCGAGACAGATAAAGCACTCGCGTGTGCGACCCGCTCATCCGCAAGAACTTGCCGAAGCAGTGTGGCTTCCGACTGCTGCTGTATGGAAGAAGGCTCGTCGATCTGTACATCGTACGTCTGTACCTCCTCTGTCTGGTGTGCAAGTCCTCCCTCGATCCGTAGTTCATCAGATGGTGTTGGTACTGACTCCCCCGCAGCTGCTTCCGTCAACTCCACCTGGAAGCTGGCCACCAGGGTGGTGCGCCTCTCCGCCGTCGCGTCCAGCCTGTTGAGCCCGTCCGTCAAATCGGCATATGATGGCGCACCTGCTCGTAACCCAATGGGACATCCGAGCCGTAGGCGTGTGACCCTTGACTCCCTCTGGTATTGGCGCATCTCGTGTGACCAACGCTGAGGGCCCTGACGTAGAATGCGCAGTGAGCGTCGGAGAAAAGCTGGTCTGCGGTGGTCTCCGAGTGCCCATCCGTCTAGGCATACGTGTTCTGCCACTGGGCGCAGGTGCTCTCTGGGCTGCGTCTCGCTGTCGATGAGGATCTCGAACGTCGGGTCGGACTGCATGACGCTCGTGATGGACGGCACGCACCACTGGAGGTTGTCCTGGAGCGCCTCGTCTGGCGTCCAGAGTTGGGCCTCGTAATCCCATGGTCGGCGAACCTCCCCCAGGTGTTCGATAATGGTATGCCGGCGGCCCTTGCTCTTTGGGTCTCCGTCGGCGTCCTGCGCGGTCCAGGCTGAGGTTCTCTCAAATGGCTGTCCCCGTCTTGGTGCCACTCCTTATCGAACGACATGGCGCTGCGGTATACGTTCAATGCTTTCACCTTGTGATCCGTGCAGTCCTTAACCCATTGTATCTGCACGGACATAGTATAATCGGGCGCCCTTGACAACATGAATTGCATCAAAACGTTCTTGGTCATTGATGATCCAAACTCATGCTTCTTGTCGTCCGTGGAGTCCCTCATGCTTTCAAGTAGGCATTGTGGTCTGGTGACTCCAGCCCCACCTGCTCCCAGTCTTCTGCTGCTGGCGATGTCGGCGCCAAAAGGTGTGTGGCCACCATTGGGATTGTGGGTGACACTGTTCCTCCCGTTGACGGTGGCATAGCTGTCGCATACGTTGTGGTCGCCCAATTCTTCGCATCCGGGAAGTTCAAGGACTTCCCATGCTCCTCGCAATACTTCCTTCTTGCCTCTGCTTCCTCTGGCGTCCTGGGATGTCTTACGTGGTTCGGCATCTTGAGGAGTTGGTCTATGATGAAGCCCGAGGCTATGAGTAACTGATTGTCTTCTGCTTCTTGGGCCGCTCTTGCGGTGACTGCCGTGGCCTGAGCTTGGATCGCGGCCTGGCAATTCTGGTACTCCTGGGAGGTCACTGCTTGAGCCATTCCTGGCCCTGACGGCTGCCACGGCGTGGGGTAGCCTCCTGGTGGCGTGTTGGCGGGCATCATGCTGAGGAACGCCAGCTCCTCCGTGCTGACCTGTGCCTGCAACTTGGGGGAGGCTGCTCCTCGTTCGCGCTGGCTCTCTTGACTGACGGCGAACTTTCTCGCGTCCTTGCCGAGGCCGCTGAAGCTGCTGGCGCTGGTGCTGCCTGTGCTGGGGCTCCCCTTGCACTGGAGCTGGCGCCGCCTGCGCTGGATTGGCTGCCGCTGCCGGGGCTGCCGAAGCCTGGTCTGATGCTGGCTCCGGCCTCGCATTGGCCACTGGCGCCGCGGCTGCAGTCTTCACTGGGCTATGGCTGCCGATGCCGACGCCCCCGCACCAGTCGCTACAGGCGCCATCTTGTAGAACGGGCTCTGGTCGCCTAGGATGGGCACAATGGAAATCAATGGAACATGGTGCCACTTCCTTGTCCTGGTGCCCACCTCATGTCTGGCACCGGTGTCGTTGTTCCTTTTTTTACCTCCCTTGGCGGCTTGGAACCAGGCTGACTGCATGCGCTGGAAGTGGGCTGCCGCTTGCTGCTGCTGCTGCTGCTGCTGCTGCTGCTGCTGGAGGATGTAGTTGAGGTACTGGCTGCCCTGGCCCTGGTTCCCGTCCGAGGTCGAACGTGGGGACGGAGGAGCTGGGATCGCCGTGCCCATCGCCGTCTTGGAACTTGCCGCTGCCGAGCTGGGTGATGTCGCCCGCGGTGGAGGCATTGGCTTGTGCTGCGGCGGTGGTCCTCGAGGGGCTGCTGAGGCACTGGCCTCTGCTGCTCCCTGTCGGGCGTCCTCGTCCATCGCATCCTCTTCCTCGGCCGGGTTGCCCGTCTCCTCGATCAGTAGCTGTTCCAATGCGTCATCCAGGTTCTCCAGTTCTTGCTGGTACTCGGCCTTGCGGTTCTCCAGTTCGTTGATCTGGTCGTTGATCTTGTCGATCTTGATGGCCAGCTCATGTTGATCTTTCCGATGGCGTAGCTTTCTGGTCCCCACTGGTTCCAATGCCGACAAAGCATACTTCATCATGGCCAGCTCGTCCAGGGAGTCTTCGTCTTCGGCGCCCGCTTGTCTCGTCGCCAGGATAAGTGTGGCGAGCACCGTCAGGTTCTTCTGCAGGCCTCGTCTGTAGCCTTCCAACTGGCACTCCGACGAGGGTGGTGGCTTGCATCGGGAAACGAGAAATGGCATAAACATAAAAACTCAGAGGTCCGCGCGGATTTCTTGGATCCGCGCTCGACCCCCCTCCTTGGCTCGTGGAGCGCGCCAGGGGCGGCGCCGGTGGCGCCGCCAGGGGGCCCCAGCGCAGATCCGAGAAGTCCGCGCGGACCTCCGAGTTTTATGTTTATGTCAGTGTGCGTTTCCCTATTGTAGCGTCTGTGGGCCTTCGCCACCGCTGGGGCTGCCATGTGCGTCTTGCCCATCGAGCTTTGCAAGCTGGACCTGGTGATCGCGTCGTCCCCGCGTCTGCGCTCGTCTCGCTGCTGCCCGTGCTGCCGTGGCCCCCCTTGATGGTGCCCTCCAAGGCTTCCGCAGGGGCCTCGGCCTGTGTGGAGGACGTTCTGGCGGCCACTGCGCACCACACCAGTAATCCCAATACTTTTCTGGCACGGCTTTGTTTCAGTCATGATCGCGTCGTACCATAATATCAGGACGGGAAGTTTTTGGCTATTTTCGGCCCCGGGGGGCCCTCGCCGGGCCTCGGGATCGTCAAACAATCATTCGGGACGAAAAACCGGTCCCGGGGAAGGGGTTGGGACATTGCGGGGACGCCGTCCCGAAAAAGTCCCAGACGTGACGTCGCACGTCTGGGATTGCAGCGAGAACAGTGCCAAGTCCGTCCCATGCACGAGCTGCCCTCGGGCTGGTGCTGACAGTCCAGGCTGTGCTGACAGCGTGGTGAGAAAAGAGGAGACCCACGGCCGCACGAGGGCTCACCGCAGGGGATCGCGCGAGAGAGTGCCTGCTGAGGGCGGCGCGCCTCGAGCCAGCCCCTCGGCTGCAGGCAAGTACGAAGCCGCAGGGCAACGGTTTCGCACTGGAGCCAAAATGGCTACAGTCCCTCCTCCTCCTCCTCCTCCTTCTCCTCCTCCTCCTCCTCTTCCTTCTCCTCCTCCCCCTCCTTCTCCTCCTCCTCGTCTTCCTCCCCCCTCTCCTCCTCCTCGTCCTCCTTCAGTTCGGCACGCTGGCTCCTCCTCCCAACTCTCCCCCTCCCAGCCTCTCCTCCCCCTCCTCCCTCCTACCCCTTCTCCTTCCCTCCCCCTGCCGCCTCCTCCTTCGCACGCCGCCCTCCCCCCTCCCTCTGGCGCTCGAGCAGTTCCTCCCCTCCCCTGGCCCATCCCTTCGTCCCCCGCGGGGAACCTGGAGCTCTGGAGAGTTTGGCCGCTGTGGCGGCGACGGCGGCTGGGACGGCGTCGGGGGCGTCGGCGGCGGCGATGGCGGCGGCGGCGGCGGCGGTGACAACGGCGGCGGTGGCGGCGGCGGCGATGGCGGCGGTGTCGGCGGCGGCGCAGAGCCGAGCGCACCCGAGGCAACCGAGCAGCTGGTTCTCCTCCAGCTCATTCGGGCCGCCGGGGTCCCCCAGCGCAGGCTTGGCCAACGCGTTCGGCCGGCAGGCGCCCTCGCACTGTCGTCCGCGCGCGTCCTTCTTTTTGTTTCTCCGCCTCCCTGGTCCTCCTCTTCTGCGTCCTCCTCCTCCTCCTCCTTCTCCTCCTCCTCATCCTCCTCATCCTCCTCCTCCTCCGCACCATCATCATCATCATCATCATCATCATCATCATCATCATCATCATCATCATCATCATCAGCATCAGCATCAGCATCAGCATCAGCATCAGCATCATCCTCATCATCATCATCATCATCATCAGCATCATCATCATCATCATCATCATCATCCTCATCCTCATCGTCATCATCATCATCATCATCATCATCATCATCATCACCACCACCATCATCATCATCATCAGCACCAGCATCAGCATCAGCATCATCATCATCATCATCATTATCATCATCATTATCATCATCATCATCATCACCATTAGCATCATCATCATCATCATCATCATCATCATCATCATCATCATCATCAGTATCATCATCATCATCATCATTATCATCATCATTATCATCATCACCACCACCATCATCATCAGCAGCACAATCATCATCGTTATCGTCCTTATCATCAGCATAATCACCATCATCAGCATTACCACCATCATTATCATGGCATCATCCTCCTCATCATCACCATCATCATCAGCAGCTGCACCATCATCCTCTTCATCATCACCGTGATCATCATCATCATCATCATCATCATCATCATCATCATCATCATCATCATCATCATCGTCAGCATGATCATCATCGTTGTTGTCTTCATCATCAGCATCGTCATCAGCATCGTCGTCATCATCCACATAATCATGTTCTTCCTCATCATTATCATCACAATCGTCATCATCATCATCATCAACATCATCAGCATCATCAGCATCACCACCATCGTCAGCATCACCATCATCACCACCACCATCATCATCACCATCATGAACATCCTAAACATCAGCATCAGCATCACCAGCATAATCATCGTCATCATTCTCATCATTCATCATCGTCATCATCATCATCACCAGAACCATCATCAGAATCATCATCATCACCACCACCACCACCATCATCATCATCATCATCATCATCATCATCATCATCATCATCATCATCATCATCATCGCTTCCTGCCTCTGCCTTCCTCCCTCCCCCCACCTCCCCCGCCCCTCCAATTCATCCTGCCCTCTCATCCGTCCCCCTCATTCCTCCTCTCCCGCCCACCCCCTCGATTCTTGATGCTGCGGGCGGGTCAGTCGAAACGACTTGCGCCTTCTCTCTCTCTCTCTCATAGCCTTGGCGCGGCTATCCCTCTCCACCGCGGCGCCGCCCCCTCGCGCGGGCGCGGGGCTGACACCGCGGCGGTACCGCCGCACGCCGGCGACGGCTGGCTCCGAGGAGGGAAGGGGTATGGGGGAGAACGACACACCGCTGCCATGCTCCGAAACGTAGAGGAAGGGGGGAAGTAATGTTAAGTCGGGCACGTCCCTCTACAGTTTCCGGTGATGTTTGATAATGCTTGCGTGTTTGTCTTGACTATTTCTTTACGCTTCTTCCAAAATCCACCTCTGGGAGGACATGCCCGACCTAAAAGTAACAGGATGAGCGACGGGGCCACCCATTCTTTGAGGCGCCTGCGCAGCGCGCAGGTTCTCATGCTCTGCTGCCGGTCGTTGGCACTGGCAGCTGGGGAGGTTGGGATGTCCCCCTGCCCTCAGCAAACCCTTGGGGACAGTCGGCCCCCGTGTGACCCTGCCAGGGGATGGGCGCCGCGCCGTGGGTGGCGACTGCGCAGACCCACGGGGGCCTCTCCAAAAGCTGGTCCAGCGTTTCTTAACCAACTTGCTGGGAAGCTGGCCCAGTTCCAGCGTTCACACGAACACTTGGCCCAGGTTTGTTTCAAGAAACTTCTGGACAGCTGGCCCAAGCTTCTGAAATTATCACGTTCTTGATCATTATGTCGGTTGTATACCAGACGTTGCGCGTGGGCAGGAGGGCGTTCCGGCTGGAGGCTTTCTCGCCGCCTGCGGTCTCGAGGCTTGAGATGATCGTCGGCTGACAGTATCGTTTCGTTGACCCCTACAGGGCTGATTCTGACTCCTCTGAGTCGATTCGATTTCGAGGGCTTCCGATTCAGATTCGGTTCGAATTCGGATTCCGATTTGGCATCCAGTTTCTCAATGGAGGCCTACTAGGCTGCCGATATCAGGCGATTCTGCTCTTCCCGACTTGGCTGCCGATTCCTGCCATGTCGATCGTCGATCCGATTTATCGATTCGATTCCTAATCGCCATCCAGACCCCCACCATCCCACCACCCCAGTTGGGGATATACCCCTCGAAACCCGAACCCGAAGGAAACGGCTTCTATCCTCATCTAGGGGGGAAACATCGGCCAGCGGGGCCCGGGCCACGCCTACGGGGACTGGGGTCGGTTCAACGATGCTCAAGCTGGCCAGATGGGGTCGGGCCATTTTCAGAATGGGGCTTTTGCCTTGCGCCGCGCATACTCGCCTTCACAAAAGCACGAGCATATGCACGGATGGAGGGTGGATCGTTTTCGAGGTGGGTCTCCCGCTTGAGACCTCAGCCACACGATGGACATGTTCGACGTCGAACGCTGTGGAACAGTTGTGCACGGATGGAGGACGGTACTTTTTCGAAGCGGAAATTTCGCCCGCGTGTCTTTCGAGTGTTGTGCTCAGAAATTGCAGAACAGTTGTGGAACAACTGCCCGGACGGAGGGGGGTATTTTTCTCAAGGCGGGGTTGCCGTTGGACCCTCGTTGAATGTCATGCTGACACTTTAACGAGCTCCTTCTCAGAGGAGGCAGGCAAGTGGTCTCCATACCGCTGCCCTTCTCTCGTTTTCACCTTTTTGGGGGCCTTCGTCGCCACCGCCAGATCCGCCTCGGAGTTCTGGTCAGAACGCATCCCCAGAGAGGTCCAGGGAGTGGCGGTATCGGTACTTCTCGGCTCCCCCACCTTCTAGCTCGAAGGACGGATGGCTTCCTCAAAAGTGGAGCTCCCGTCCGAGCTGCTGCCCTGCACGGGCCCCGTCCTTCTGGGGGGCGCCCAGGGGCGTGAACACGAATGCCATTTTTAGGAGAAGGCTTGGGACGGGAGGGTGCCTTGCAGCACTCTTGACGTACAGATGTCGCCGTGCCGTTTGTTCCGACGCGCGGCCTCCCGTCTTCGAGAGGGCGCCTCGGCCACCAGGGCAAACTCCGCCCCGGGTGCCAGGCTTGCCGTGGGCTTTGCCGCGGCGCCGGCTGCGTCTACTTGGGCGCGGGGCGCAGGGGCTTGCCGCGGGTTTGCCGTGGTGTCGGCGTCGTCCGCCTGGGCGCGTCGGCCGGATCCTCTTCTTCCTCTGCCTTCCTCCTCCCCCCACCCTCTTCCACCTCCTCCTCCTCCTCTTCCTCCTCCTCCTCTTCCCCCTCCTCTTCCTCCTCCTCCTCCTCCTCCACCTCTTTCCCCCTCCTCCGTTCCCTTCCCCTCCCCCTCCTTCCCTTGCCTATCTCCTCCTCCCGCCTCGCTCATCCTCCTTCTTCCCCTTCCTCCTCCTCCTCCTCTCCTCCTCCTCCTCCTTTTCCTCCTCCTCCTCCTCCTCCTCCTCCTCCTCCTCCTCCTCCTCCTCCTCCTCCTCCTCCTCCTCCTCCTCCTCCCCCTCTTTCCCCCAAGCCTCACTCCCATCATCCCTCATTCCTGAGAGCAGATGTCACGCACAAATTGCAACATCCTGCACCTAGACTCGACCGCCGCTCTGGACCCCATCTTCCGGCTGCAGCTTTCGAGCCGCATCGATCCGAGAGGGCTCCCGGGGGCCGAAACGAGGCAACATCGCCCGCTGCGAACAGACCTACGACGCTAGAGTCCCGGGGCCCACCCTCCTCCGCAAGCGGCCGGGCGCCTGCGCTGGCACGAACGGCGTAACCGCGACTTCCTCGCGCGGGCCGCGGCCCGCGCCCTGCGCCGGCGCGCCTTCCGTCGCCGCCGTGGTCGCCGCCGCCGCCGCCTCCGCGTCGCCGTCGCCGCCGCGATCGCCGTCGCCGTCGCCCCGCCGTCGTCGTCGTCGCCGTCGTCATCGTTCTCGTCCTCGTCGTCGTCGTCCTCCTCCTCCTCCTCGTCGTCGCCGTCGCCACCTCCCCGTCGCCGTCGCCGTCGCCGTCGCCCCCGCCTTCGAGGTGTCCCCCGGCGCGGCCGCCGCAGGCCCCGCCTTCGCCCACGAGGCCGCCTCCGCCAGCCGGCAGCCGCCGCCCGGGCACTCGCCGCCGGGCGCTGCGGCCGAGGCGGCGCTGCAGCCCTCGGCGGCCGTCGGCGGCCCTCTGCCGCCCTCCGCGGCGGGCGGCCCTCGGCGGCGGCCTTCGGCGAGCGGTCCTCGGCGGCGGCCCTCGGCGGCGGCCCTCGGCGGCGGCCCTCGGCGGCCCTCTTTCGCGGCCTTCCGCGGCCCTCGGCCACGCGCCGCGCGGGGCCGGCGCGGGCCGGCGGCGGCGGCCGGCGGCCGAGAGGCGCCCGCGGCGGCTGCGCCCGCCGCGGCGCTGCCACAGCCAGCGGCCCGGTGCGGGCAGGACGACGACGACGCCATGCGGCGCCGCTGGCCGTTGTCCTCGTTCGTCGTCCTTGTCGTCTCGTCGTCCTCGTCGTTGTCGTCGTCCTCGCCGTCGTCGTCGTCGTCGTTTTCCTCGTCCTCGTCCTTGTCGTCGTCGTCGTCCTCGTCCTCGTCCTCGTCCTTGTCGTCGTCGTCGTCGTCGTCTTCGTCGTGGTCGTCGTCGTCGTCGTCCTTCTCGTCCTCGTCCTTGTCCTCGTCGTCGTCGTCGTGGTCGTCGTCGTCGTCGTCGTCGTCGTCGTCTTGGCTGAGGCGCCACTGCTCCTCGCTCGAGCGGCTGGTGGTGGACCTGGGGATCTCCCCGCAGGCCGCCCGGGTGGCGCTCCGCCACCTGGACGCCTGGCTGGTGAGCGAGGCCAGGGCGGACGCAGGGGCGGGCTCAGACTTCTGCCGACTACGCACACGTAAGAGTGGCCCTTCGCCGGAGTGACCTTTGGTGCGGACCGGCAGGGGTCCCCCGATCGCCGCGCTCCAAAGGCCACCCTGACCCAGGGTCACTCCTGCGTGTAGCCGATTATGATGTTCCGACCTGCCGTAGCCTCGATCCCCAAATCAAAATTTCGAGCACCAGAAAGTACCCAAACTGGAGGGCTTCCACGTGTCGGCCCCCGGGAGGCGATACTCGTTCGACACTTCACTAGCGTGTCGGGCAGACATTGTTTCAATATTTACTTTTCTGGGTGCTCGAAGTTATTTCTGGGATGTGGTCCGGATTGACCGCCCCTGATCTCTCGGCGGTGTATACAACTGGTCCTAAAACATCCTCGTCGCGGCAGAGATTATTGCCCCTCTGTTTTTGTTTGGGCTGGGTAATGTTTGTTTCTCCCAGGAAAGAATGCCCCCCCGGGCTACCGTGCACTAGCCCTGCTAAGAAGGAGGGGGAGGAAGAGGAGGAGGAGGAGAAGAAGGAGAGGGAAGAGGAGGAGGAGGAGGAGGAGGAGGAGGAGGGAGGAGGGAGGAAGGGGAGGAGGAGGAGAGAGGAGGAGGAGGAGGAGGAGAAGGAGGAGTAGGGGAGAGGAGGAGAAGGAAAGAGTGGGAGGAGGAGGAGGAGGATGAGATGATGATGATGATGATGATGATGATGATGATGATGATGATGATGATGATGATGATGATGAGATGATGATGATGAGGAGGAGGAGGAGGAGGAGGAGGAGGAGGAGGAGGAGGAGGAGGAGGAGGAGGATAAGGAGGTGGAGGAAGAGGAGCGCGCGCGCGATCGGGTGACCCACGCGCGGGCGGGTCACCCGATATCCGGCAGGTTACCGCCAAGGGTTCACTTGACTTTCCAGGCCAACATGGCGACTTTTCAACTGTGGAGGATACAAAACCCGCCACGCACGCGTCCGCGCGCGCGCGGTCGGGTGACCCACGCGCGGGCGGGTCACCCAAAATCCGGTTGGTCATTGTTGAGGGTTCATTGTAGTATCGAGGCCAACATGACGTCTTTTCCTTTTTGGACAATACAGAACTGGCATTGTCCACAATGGATACGTCCTCATGTTGGCCTGCAAACACCAGTGATCCCTTTACGGTGGCCGATTGGACTTTGAAGTTCACATGCGTTTCTTCCAACGTTTCCAAGACTAGAAAAGTCGTCATGTATCATGTGAGGAGGATATATGAGCATCTTCTTATGAGGCTTACAATGGAAAAGGTGTTTCGTTTTGACCCGGGGGTTTGCTCAGACCCGCCTAATTACCTAGCACTGCTGGCAAAACTCTTGCTGGCGCCTGGTCGGCGCGCGCAGCGTCGTTGGATTCGTTTCCCTGTATTGTTGGGTGGGCTGGATCATGTTTGGGGGGTATTTCTCCAGCGGGATAGTATTGTGGGCTACCCTGCACGCGGGAGAACTTGGCGAGCATCTTCTCATGAGGATTGCAATGCAACTGCGCTCCCCCCTTCCACGAGGGGCGCCCCGAAGCCCCCCCCCAAGGCCTCGGCCTGCCCCCCCGTGGGCCGACAAGGGGGGGGGGGGAGGAGGAGGACGGCCGAGGCTCGGGCAGGGACCGCTGGGGGCCGAGGGGGGGCGAGGGGGCGAGGGGGCGAGCGACGAGATCGAGGAGGAAGAGGTGCCCATACCTCTGTGTACCCTTCCCCGTTTTTCCCCTTTTGGGGGCCTCCTCGGCGGCCCTCGTCGCCGCCGCTGGATTCGCCGCGAAATCCGGGTCAGGGCGCACCCCAGGAGATGTCCAGGGAGTAGCAGTATCGGTACCTGTCGGTTTCCCCAGATCGAGGAGCGAGGCAGAATAGGGATCGATCGGGAAGAGCATCGAGCAGCGATCGGGGAGGGCCGAGGAGCGAGGGAGGTGGGTCAGCACCTAGGACCTAGCACCAAGGAGGAGGAGGAGAAGGAGGAGGAGGAGGAAGAGGAGGAGGAGGAGGAGGAAGAGGAGGAGGAGGAGGAGGAGGAAGAGGAGGAGGAGGCCGGAGGAGGAGGAGGAGGAATAGGAGGAGGAGGAGGAGGAGGAGGAGGAGGAGGAGGAGGAGGAGGAGGAGGAGACGCTGCTGGACGTTGTACCCTCCCTCCCCCCAGAGGGCCTTTCTTTATATCCGTAAGGGCTTCGCCCCCTGCCGCCGGCCCCCCCTCTCTATCAGAGTCGCGTCGGTGCGTCTCGGCGCTGCTTTGGCGCATCTGGGAACATCATGCGGGGGCGGAGAGGAATCATTAGCGCATACTGATACATTGACGTTATCGAAGACGCCTACGGCGAATCACCGCCGCCCCCTGCCTTTTTGGAAGCGCCTATGTGGCCGAACGTTGAGGCCAGACCTGCCAAGCTATCGGACCACGTGTTCCCCGAATCGGTTTGGAAAGCCTTCGGGGAACACGTGGGCATCTTGAAGGTCATCTTGGCCGTCTTGGAGGCCTCTTGGGCAAGCTTTGGGCGATCTTTGGGGCTTTTTGGGCCGTCTCGGGCCAGCTTCGAGCCAACTTCGGCCATCTTGGTGGGTTCCTGGCACGTCTGAAGCCGTCGGAAGCCGTTTGGGGGGCCTCTATGGGCCGACTTGGGGCCCGCTTGGAATGCTCCAGGGCCGTCTTGGAGGCCATCTTGGGCGTCTTGGAGGCCATCTTGGGCGTGTTGGAGGCCTCTTGGGCCCTCTTGGGGCCCTCTAGGGGCCATCTTGGAGGCCACTTGGGCCATCATGGGGCTCTCTTGGGGGCCTCTTGGGCGATCTTGGGGGCTTCTTGGGCCGTCTTGAGCCGTCGGAGAGCCGAAAAGGCGCAAATGCCAAAATCCTTCAAAAACCAAGGGAAAATCAATGATTTTGGCCTCTTCGGACTCTCCTGGAGGACCTCTTGGAGGCCTCTTGGGCCGTCTGGGAGGCCTCTGGGGGGCCTCTTGGGCCGTCTTGGGCCGTCTTGGACTCTCTTGGGCCGTTTTGGAGGCCGTCTTGGACCATCTCGGGCGGACTTGGAGGCCATCTTGGGCCATCTTCGCGATTTTTTGAGGATGTCCCGAGCGAAACGGCCGTTTTTGGGCATTGACAGATGGGTTTTATGAGATTTACGGGTGGCCGGCGGGACGGGCCGAAGCCCACTGGGGAGTTCTTTTAGAAAAAGAACCAAAACCAAAACCTGAATCGTCCAGCACGCCGTGCACCCCTGCAAGCAGGGGGCGGCGGATCCTAGGGGCGTTCGGCCCATCTTTCCACCGTGCCTGGGTTGTGGGTATGAGGCCTCTTGTATATATGTGTTGGGGTGTCGTGGGGATCCTCTCGGGGGCCTCTTGGAGGAGGTTTGGGCGCCTCTTGGCGGCCTCTTGGGGCCTCGAGGGATATCTTTTGGCCCTCTTGGAGGCCTCTTGGGCGCGGCTTGGGCGCCTCTTGGGGCCTCTTGGGGCGTCTTGGGCGCTTTTATGGGGCATCCTGGGGGCTTCTCGGGGCACAGATGAAGAATGTTCGGTTCGTGGTCCCCTGTGTAGCTCCCTCTTGGGGCCGTCTTGGGGCCCTCTTATGTCGTCTTGAGCGCTTCTTGGCCCTCTTGGGCCGTCTTGGGACCCTCTTGGAGGCCTCTTGGGCTGGCTTGGGGCGGTCTTGGGAGCTTCTTGACACGTTTTGGAGCTTGGAGCGCTCTTGGGGCCTCGTGGAGCTCTCGTGGGCCGTCTTGGAACCATCTTCGGGCGCCTTGGAGCACTCTTGGCCTCGGCAATGTGAATATGGAGTAATTTGCGATGGTTGATTGCCTGGGGGACGCGAATATTGCGTAATTGGCGGCAGTTTGTTGCGTCGGGGACTCAACACTTGTATACTTTGCGAGGGATTATGGCCTTGTGGACGCGCATCTTGCATAATTTTCAAAAGGACTGTGGCTTCGGGGACGCGAATATCGCGTACTTTACGAGGGTTAGTTGCCTCGGGGACGTAATAATTATACAATGTATGACTGTTTATGGCCTCGGGGGCGCGAATATTGTATAATTGTCACCACATTCTATTTCGGGGGCGCGAATCTCTCATACACATATATATATATATATATATATATATATGTGTATATATATATATATACGTATCCCATGCCCCCCAGAATCCAGAGTACGCGATCCGAGGCTGGTAAATTGCTCTTTGGGGGCTCCCCCCCCTCGCGCGGATGTCAACACTTTTCAGTAGGAAGCAGAAAGCAGGACTGTAACATTGGAGACTTGAAACTGCAACTGGCGCAGTAAGCAGCAACTTCGGCCTACAGCCTGATGGTCCCACAAGGGGGCCAGCGGATTCGCCGTCTTCCTACAGATATATTGGTTTGGTAAACTCCTTCCTGCGGCAGATGCCGCTCGGGGAGGGGGATCGCAGCGTCCCTTTCTTGGATTATTGCCATCCGAGGAGGATGAGGAGAAGGGCATCGAGCTCAATGAGGAGGGATACGAGAATCTGATTCGCCTAATTCCCAGATCTCCGAGCATCGAGGAGGAGGAGGAGGAGGAGGAGGAGGAGGAGGAGGAGGAGGAGGGAGGAGGACACGAGCATGGAGGAGGAGGGAGGAGGAGGAGGAGGAGGACAAGGAGGAGGAGGGCATCGAGCAGGATGGAGGAGGAGGAGGAGCATGGAGGAGGAGGAGGAGGAGGAGGAGGAGGAGGAGAGGAGGAGGAGGAGGGAGGAGGAGGAGGAGGAGGAGGAGGAGGAGGAGGAGGAGGAGGAGGAGGAGGGGTGGTGCGCGCGCGGCCGCTGCGCGAGGCCGGGGCCATGGAGATGGCCGCGGCCGAGGCCGCGGGCCACGGCAGCCTCGGGAGGGGGCAAAGCACTCAAAACAGCACGGCGGGCTCGGCGCGGCCGCCGGCGCGGCAGCAGCGCGGGCGCGCCGACAGCGACGACGACGACGAGGACGACGACGACGACGACCACGACGACGACGACGAGGACGACGACGACGACGACGACGACGGCGACGACGACGGCGACGACGACGACGACGACGAGGACGACGAGGACGAGGACGACGACGACGAGGACGAGGACGAGGACGACGACGACGACGACGACGACGACGACGACGACGACGACGACGACGACGACGACGACGACGGCGGCTGGCCCGAGGCCGCCCGAGTCGGCTTCGCGTAGGAGTGACCTTTCGCCAGAGTGACCTTTGATACGGGCTCACGCAGGTTAGAGGAGGAAAACGTACGCATACCGCTACCCTTCTCTCGTGTTCCACTGCTTGGGCCTCCTGGGAGGACCTCGTCGCCACCGCCCAAAATTCTGGTCAGAACGCACCCCGGCAGAGGTCTGGGGAGTAGCGGTATCATTACCTCTTGGCTTCCCCAACAGGGGTCCCCCTCCAGACACGCGGCGTCCTGATTTTTTCAGGACGGCGTCCTTGGAAGTCCCGACCCTTTCGCCGGGACCGGGATGAAAAGTTGGTGCCCAGGGCAGGCCTGCGCGGGGCTCATTTCGATTCCTCCGATTCGATTCGATTTCTGCGGCTTCCGATTCGATTCGACTGGATTCTGATTCGGGCTCCGATTTATCAACGGAGGCCTATTGGCCTGCCGATTTCCACCGATTCTTCGCCCTTGGGACATGTTCGGACGGTCCCGAGGCGGGGCGAGGGCCCCCCGGGGGCCGAAAAGAGCCCAGAGCCTCCCGCCCTGATGTTTTCAACGACGCGGCCATGTTTGGGCCCAGCACGGGCTGGCACGCTCGGGTGCAAGGAGGAAAGACTGGTCTACTCTGTAAGAACGGTTTTTTGAAGGCAGATCTGCCTTCAAAAAACCGTTCTTACAGGGCTTGCACGCTCGGGTGCGGTCCCCGCGCGGCCCCCGGAGAATCGGGCCGGGCGAAAGGGGGGGATTGGGAAAGGGGGGGCTACGAAATTTGCTGCATGCAGCTGGTTTCGGCCTCACCGAGGGGCCCATTCCTCGATACATAGCCGCCTCCGGCGCCGGGAGGCGCCGGGAAAATCAGCTACGTGAGCTGATTCTCAAACCCCCCCTTCACCACCCACCAAACCACCCCAACCCAACCCGAAGGCTCAGATTTACCCTCGATTTCCAGTGGGGGGGGGGTCGGGGAACATCGAAAAAACACATGTGGAACCCTTACCCCCCCCAACCCGAAATTCGGGTCTTCGGGTTGGGTTGGGGTGGTCTGGTAGGTAGTCACCCCTTTGCTATCCCCCCCTTTCGCCCGACCCGAGAGAACCCGCGCGCCCAGGGCCCACTCCTTGCCCAGGGGCCACCCCCCGTGCGTGTGGCCGGCACGGCCCCAGGGGCAGCCCGCGAGGGTGCCCTCGGCGGCGGCTGCGCACCTCGCGCGGCAGGTCGCAGGGGTCTGCGGGGCTCGGTTCGATCCCTGCGAGTCGACTCGACTTCGACTGCGATGGCTTCCGATTGGGTTCGATTCGGCTCTGGATTCCGAGCTGGATTCCGAACTCCTGCTGGAGGCCCACAAGCCTGCCGATGTCTGCCGATTCGGCTTCTCCCGGCTCGGCTGCCGAGTTCCGCCGAGCCGATTCATTTCGATCGCCGATCCGACTTCTCGATTCGATTCTGGGCTCTCCTGGGTCTGGGAGGCGGCCCCTTCCCGACCGGCAACGTCCCGAGCTTTTCCGAGCCTCCCGCCCCGCGGCCCCAAGATCAACCTTGCGACCCGGGCGCTGCAATTCTTCCACACCAGGCGCTCTCATGCCCGCCTTCGGGCCCCGGGACAACCACACGTCGAGCTTGGTCCGAAAGATGCCGCAGAAAGGTTGGGCTTGGGGCTCTGGTCGTGCTTTCTCACGAGGTTGAACTTTTGTTTCTGCATGTCGGATCTCCGGGGAGGCCCCGACCTCCGAGGTCGGGACCTCCCCTGAGATCCGAGGAGGCCCGGTGGTGGCGGGCGCCGTGCCCGGCGCAGTGCCCAGGCAGCGGGGAGCACATCCTGCACACGGGCGACGCCGTGCGCCTGGAGGGCATGGTCAAGAACAAGAGCCTGAACGGCACGCTCGGGACGCTCACGTGCCCCCCCGCGGCGCGCAGAAGCGGAGGCCTGGAGACTGGGCACCAGCACCTGTACCTCGGTATCGTTTCACCGACCCCCCATCCCCATCCCCCATCCCCTTCGAGTCCCCCACCAAATTACCCCCCCAGTTGGGGATACGTTCCTCGAAACCCGAATGGAGCGGCCTATAGCCCCATCTAGGGGGGTAAATCGGCCAGTGGGGCCCAGGCGACGCCGCTGGGGATGGGGATCGGTTAAACGATGCTCAGTAGCCGTGGTTGTCTCCTCCAAGGGTGGACGATGTTGGTCTCGGCGGCGGTGGTGATGCACTCGGGTTCCTGGATGGCCAGGGGCATGCCACCAGCGTCGGAATCCAGGACCACTCTGCCCCGGTGGAGGCAACCCCTGCGCTCCTCTTTCGCCGCCCCCTCCTCCGCCTTCCTCCTCCTCCTCCTCCTCCTCCTCCTCCTCCTCCTCCTCCTCCTCCTCCTCCTCCTCCTCCTCCTCATTCTTCTCCTTCTGCTCCTTCTCCTCCTCCCCCTGCTCCTCCTTTCTCCTTCTTCCTCTCACTCCTTGCATGGGTGTTGGCGCCACTCTCCCGGCCTCCCCCCGCCTGTGCCGGCCGCCGCGAGACTCGAGACTGCCGGTTTTTCTCTCGGGCCGCGCCCCCCCCCCTTGGCTTCTTCGCGCGTCGTGGGCGAGGTCACGGCGGGAGGCGTTCGGCGCTTCTCGGCCCCCCGTGGCCCTCACTGGGCCCCGGGAGCGTCGCAACGGACGGTTCGGGGCAGGCGTCCTCAAAGCGATACGTCTGACAAAGCGGGGAAGCTTGCTGGGTGGCGCCACGTCCTTTCTCGGCCTCCCGAGGGGCGCCACGACGCTTGACCACTTCCGCCACCAGCAGAACCCCTCGAAGCCGAGAAGCGAAATCGGATCCTCATCAGGGTGACGCCGTGAGTGCCGATCTGGCGCGACTGTAATTACGTTTACGTCTGCCTTGGTGTAATGGATCGGAAATCCTCCGCGGTGCATCCAGACCATTAGCGACTAGCTACTTTGCGAGCAGTGGAGCGCGCTTGTCTGATCTCAATGCGTCCCCTGGTCCCCCTTCTCGTCCGCGCACATGCCTCTGCCTATGACTTGCGATCCCCCCTCTTGGACTCCCCCCATCTTTCAGGAGGGGAAAAAACACACAGACACAATGAACCGTCGACCCCCAGGACAATATGGGAAAACATGGGAAGGGGGGAGGGAACAAGAAGACGAACACCCAGAAAACATACGGAAAAAAGTGGGGAACCCTGGGAATTGTGTATACTCATTTGCGTGCCCCTGGGATTTTTGTGTATTCATTTCTAAGTATTCGAGAGTTCTTTGATTTTTTGAGGGGCCAAGATCCTTTCATTTCTAATTCTTCTATCCTGGGCCTCTTCCTGGCCACTAGGGGGTCAGGATCAATTAGAAACGAGCACAATGAGAAATGAGCACGATTAGAAATGAACGACGTGTACTAATACTGTGTGTGTGCGTCAGCCCCACAGTACGACGCGCTCGCCGAGAAGTCTCACAGCACATGCTCCTCGGCGGGCGCTCTCTGGCCGTGCCGCTCGGGGAGGCGATACACTACAAGACAAGACGGTTGCATTACAGGCTCGGCTCGGGCGCCTCCGAGGAGGACACCTCGTGCTGGTGTGTCCTTGTGCGTCCCAGAAACATGTGGAGCTCCGCGCGGATTTCTTGCATCGACGCTGGACACCCCCCCCCCTCCCTGGCGCGCGTAGCGCGCCAGGGGGCGGCGCCGGAGGTGCGGGGGGGCAGGTGGCCCGGCGCCGCTCCAGGAAATCCACACGGAGCTCCCGAAGTTTACGCTCATGCTGTGTCCGGGTCCTCCCGACCTATGGGCGATGTCTTGCCGATTCCAGGTCGACGTTTCCCTGGAGATGGGGATGAGGAGCCCAAAAACCGAACGCTTCAGTTTGTTGGGGAGCAGTTCGACGTTCGGAGGAGGGAGGAGGGAGGAGGGAGGAGGGAGGGAGGTGGGAGGAGGGAGGAGGGAGGGAGGAGGGAGGAGGGAGGAGCTAGGGAGGAGGGAGGAGGGAGGGAGGAGGGAGGAGGGAGGAGGGAGGATCCCCCCCGAGGTGCTACGCGGCGGACACGCAGCGGTGGAAGGTCATGCTGCCCGGCGGCGAGGCGCCCCCCGTCGTTCGGGAGTCTTGAGACGGGGGCCAATGCAAACGGGGGTCAGCCACGGCCCCAGATCCTGCAGGATCCTGCGAAGACCCCCTCTGGCTGACCCGGGTTAGCGAGCCGTTAGTGGCCGCGAGGCGGCCGCACATATTGGAAGACCTGCGTTGCAGTTTGTTTTTCCTGCATTGTAGTTTTTGGTTTCCTGCGGACCCGGGTCTGGGATTGACCCGGGTCAGAAGATCCCCGAGTCGTCCAAGGAACAATTCTCGGGGACGTCGTACAACAAAAACAGACGTGATCGCGTCGTGACAAAAATCCGGACGGGAGGTTTTTGGCTATCTTCGGCTTCGGGGGGCCCTCGCAGGGCCTCGGGACCGTCAACGAAAAACTCAGGACGAAAAACAGGTCCCGGGGAAAGGGTCGGGACTTGCGGGGACGCCGCCCTGAACAAATCAGGACGTCGCATGTCTGAGTACACAACCACCGCCTGGAGGATCAACTTTCGGGGACCTCGGCAGGCGGTGGCTATGAACATATTCGGGCCCCTGGGGCCCTGGGGGCAAAAATCGATCCATATCCACCGCCCGCCTGGGCACCAGGGCGTCGGTGCCCGGGCGGTGGCCTGCAGTCAAATTGTCGGGAGTCGCCTGAATTCCCTTCCCAGACCCCCTCGAGTCGCGAACAAAATCTCGACGGAAGGGCTTTCAGTTTATTCAGCCCCATCGGCCCTTTCCAGGCCTCGGGACCGTCAAGAAACGACTCAGGATGAAAAACCGGTCCTGGGGATGGGGTCGATACCTCTGGGGGTCGACATTATAGCATATTTTAGCATTAAAAAGTAATGACGTCGGGGGTCTGGGTTGAGATCCGAGGTCTGGGCCTCATCCTGGGGACAGGTGTTGAGTCAGTTGTTTGACGGTCCTGAGGCCCGATAACCTGTGGAAAAGTCGAGTTGACCGGTGTTCTGGCGATGCCGTGGACCGTTTTTTTGTTCGTTTTGGCTCCGCCTCGCAGCAAAGGCAGATCGAAGACGGAACGAAGGAACACGAAGACAGCACAAAAACGAAAAGCATTGTTCAGCTCTCTAGCCCTGCCCCGGAGGCCGAAAGTAGCAAAAAAATCTCCGGTCAGGATTTGCTTCGCCGCGCGAGAGGGCCTGGGATCGCCTCCTCCTCCTCCTCCTCCTCCTCCTCCTCCTCCTCCTCCTCCTCCCTCCTCCCTTGTCCGCGTAGATGGCCGGAGCTCGGCCATCATGCCGTTGCGGGCGCGGCAGCTGTCTGCCAGTCCTGGTATCCTGTGGGAACCAGCTCTGGCTTTGTATTGCCAGCCCTGTCGGTTGACGGGCGTTGGCATCCACAACCTCGAGCCTAAAGCTAGGATGCCCGCACCTATCTCCAGGGGACCCTGCGGCATCCTGCCCTCACAACGAGAGCAAAACTAGGCACCCGAGCAACCTGGTCCGCATAGATGGCCGAAGCTCGGCCAGCCTGCCGTTGCGGGCGCGGCAGCGTAATGCCACTACGGGTATCCCGTGGCATGTACCCTCACGTCGACTGGTACAGGGTTAAGGCGCCCCTTAAGTCATATCGTTTCAAGTCCTCCTCCTCCTCCTCCTCCTCCTCTTCAGAGTCGCAGACGACACGACCCCCGACGGCCTTATCCTTATCCTCCTCCTCCTCCCCCTCCTCCTCCTCCTCCTCCTCCTCCTCGTCCTCCTCGTGCTCCTCCTCCTCCTCCTCCTCCTCTTCCTCCTCCTTTCCTCCCCTCAGGCACTGCGCCCTTCCCACGGGATATTGGCCGCGCGCGCCAGGGGGAGGGGGGAAGGCCTCTGGGAAGGAGGCTGCTCCTCAGAAGCCTTCCCCCCCTCCCCCTCCCCGCCCCCTCTGCGCGTGGCCAAGGACAGCCTGTCGCCCCAGAGACCGGTCTCGGGGCCTCCGGGGCCCAAGCGCCGGCCCCGGGGGCCCGACGCCGACGAACCACGCCCAGATCCGCAGAAGCAGACAGCCAGGACGCAGAAAGAAGGAGGAGGAGGAGGAAGAGGAGGAGGAGGAAGACGAGGAGGAGGAGGAGGAGGGGGAGGAGGAGGAGGAGGAGGAGGGGTCTTGCATTGTCTTGCATTGTCTTGCATTCTTGCATTGTCTTGCATTGTCTTGCATTGTCTTGCATTGTCTTGCATTGTCTTGCATTGTCTTGCATTGTCTTGCATTGTCTTGCATTGTCTTGCATTGTCTTGCATTGTCTTGCATTGTCTTGCATTGTCTTGCATTGTCTTGCATTGTCTTGCATTGTCTTGCATTGTCTTGCATTGTCTTGCATTGTCTTGCATTGTCTTGCATTGTCTTTGTCTTGCATTGTCTTTGTCTTGCATTGTCTTGCATTGTCTTGCATTGTCTTGCATTGTCTTGCATTGTCTTGCATTGTCTTGCATTGTCTTGCATTGTCTTGCATTGTCTTGCATTGTCTTGCATTGTCTTGCATTGTCTTGCATTGTCTTGCTTTGTCTTGCATTGTCTTGCTTTGTCTTGCATTGTCTTGCATTGTCTTGCATTGTCTTGCATTGTCTTGCATTGTCTTGCATTGTCTTGCATTGTCTTGCATTGTCTTGCATTGTCTTGCATTGTCTTGCATTGTCTTGCATTGTCTTGCATTGTCTTGCATGTCTTGCATTGTCTTGCATTGTCTTGCATTGTCTTGCATTGTCTTGCATTGTCTTGCATTGTCTTGCATTGTCTTGCATTGTCTTGCATTGTCTTGCATTGTCTTGCATTGTCTTGCATTGTCTTGCATTGTCTTGCATTGTCTTGCATTGTCTTGCATTGTCTTGCATTCTTGCATTGTCTTGCATTGTCTTGCATTGTCTTGCATTGTCTTGCATTGTCTTGCATTGTCTTGCATTGTCTTGCATTGTCTTGCATTGTCTTGCATTGTCTTGCATTGTCTTGCATTGTCTTGCATTGTCTTGCATTGTCTTGCATTGTCTTGCATTGTCTTGCATTGTCTTGCATTGTCTTGCATTGTCTTGCATTGTCTTGCATTGTCTTGCATTGTCTTGCATTGTCTTGCATTGTCTTGCATTGTCTTGCATTGTCTTGCTTGCATTGTCTTGCATTGTCTTGCATTGTCTTGCATTGTCTTGCATTGTCTTGCATTGTCTTGCATTGTCTTGCATTGTCTTGCATTGTCTTGCATTGTCTTGCATTGTCTTGCATTGTCTTGCATTGTCTTGCATTGTCTTGCATTGTCTTGCATTGTCTTGCATTGTCTTGCATTGTCTTGCATTGTCTTGCATTGTCTTCTCGGCATCAGTGCCACAACGTTGACGGCAGGCAGCGCATCTCTACATAATAGTGTTTTTGCTCGAACTCGCTGAGCAAGCAAGGATACAGCCAAGGTAGCAGAGTCTTGGCCGAGCACCAAAACATCATCGCCAGAGCGTGTGTGTTGCCCATTCCCTGTTTACGGTAATTCCTTTTACACAGCACCATGTCCGGTGATGAAGCCTCAGCCGCTGCGACGAGTGAACTCCCAGGCGGGAGGACTGCAGGTGGGCGCAGACCGCTGCTAGCGCCAGCGTCTAGCCTGATGTCAGCACCGGCAGATGGGGCCCGTGGAGCCCGGAGCCAGTCCCGTTCTCCGCGGGGGGCTCTGGGCCCCGCTGACGTACAAGGGGCCCGCGCCGCCAGCTCCGACTTCGCAGCTGTGAAGAAGCTAGTGGAAGACGAGTTGAAGGGGTTCCTACCGAATGAGCTGATTAAGAGAATTCAGAAATCCACGAACGATTTGAACGCGAGAATCGCAAGTCTCCAGAAGGTGAACGAGAGGGCGACGAGCACCAAGAGCGATGTGGAAGCTTTGAGTGCTGGCCGGGTCCCTTCTGGGTGTCGACCCTTCACGTTGGCATACGAGTCGCCGTTCTTGGACACAGAGCGCGTCGTTGACCTGAGTTTCCGCCTTGACCTCTCCGGCAAGACGCTGCGGGAGGCGAAGCACGAGGCCTACTGCGCGCACCTGGCCATTCAGAAGAAACTCGATGTGCTGCTCCTGGCCAAGCAGAGGGACGACCTGCGCAGGCTCACGAAGAGGGATTACTTCGTCGAGACATGCGCGGCCGCCCTGTCCGACCAGACGTCCAGAGTTTCAGGCCTGGACCTCGATCTGGACCTGGACAACGACGACGGCTTCCAGGTCTCCACTGCCGGCGTCGACGCCGAGCGGTTGAAGGCCAAAGCCACCGCCATCTACGCCAAGGCGGTGGCTCGAGCTTCAGACGAGAAGGCTCGCAAGCAGCAGGAGAAGGCCAAGCAGGACCAGGCCCAGGAGAAGCTGATCCAGCAGATGATGGGGACGAGCCCTGCGGACCTCTTCAACATGGCCGTGGATGCTCGTGTGATCGCTCGCCAGCGCGTGCTTGGCCGAGCAGGTCCGGCAGGTGGCGGCACCATAGCCGCCCAGGCGGCATCCCTGCACACCTCCACCATGGCCGCTGGCCAGTCCTCTGTCGACCGCGCCGACGCCGTACGCCTTGCTGCCTTATCAAAAAACGGCACGTCCCCGCCCGGACAGGGCGGGGGCAAGGACAAAGGCAAAGGCAAAGGGCGAGGCGACCCGAAGGGCAAGTCCAAGGGCAACGGGAAAGCCACGCCCTCCCCCAAGGGCGAGTCAAAGGGCAAGTCCAAGGGCAAGGGCAAAGGCAAGAGCAAGGCATCCGGCAAGACGAGCGCCGGGAAGGGCGCTGGCGCACGAGGAAGCGCGAGAGGGTCTGGACGTGGCAGATCCGCCGGAGGCAGGCGGCGAGGGAGGGGGACGTGACGGTGAGGCTGGCCCGTTTGTTCCTGCAGTTCACTCGTGATCTCCCCGCCCCTGATTTCAACTCTTTGCTTTCGTGTGATGATAAACCAGTTTATTTGTTTCACCCGCGTTCGAATTGTGCGACTGTTCCTTCAGGTACCGAGCTGGCCTGGCCAGTCAGGTTTTTGCTTACGATGTTTCATCGAAAGCACGTG